AAGAGTTGGCGGTGGGTGGTGATGACTAGCTGCCTTCCCTCTAGTCTTACACTGCTATATTAGGGACGGCTAGCGGAAATAGCTCTCGTGTAGCTTTGCGCGAAATTCAAAACAACCAAACAAACAAAAACTTTGTGAGAGATATGCCTATTTGTTTTTGTAGCAGTAATCGGGAAGTGCCTTCATAAAACTACAGTTAAATTATAATTCACTGAAGAAGAAAAAGAATTAGCCATAGCGCGATTTTTCAAATTCTAATGACTAGTAAAAATGTGAAAAACTTGATATATTAAAAAATCAAAATTCACAATCGAAGTTGATGCAAAAAGGGTAATTATGGTATTAGGAATCAGTTGCACTTTAACACAATGAGAAAAAGGTATTAGATATTCACACGGTTCTAAAATGTTATCCTCTCAACTGAACAAGATGATTGATGGCTTGTACAGTTAAATACATTAAGTAAATTTCTTACATTAGAACAGTAAAAGTTTTGTAGCGAAAAAGAAATAACTAGAACAGAGGTTCTTAACCTTTTTTGCTCCATGCCCCACCTCGACACCTCAAAAAATTTGATGCCCTCTTAATATAAAAACAAATTTGGTGTTGAAAGGGTATAATAATATAATGTAGAATTTAGAAATTTACCAAAAGTTCACACCCAAATGAAACTTTTTCTTATTGTAACATTTTCAAATTGCACCCTGTGGGGCGTGCGCCCCACGTTCAGAATCACTGAACTAGAAGTTAAAACGTAAAGTAGACTTTACGCTTTGCCATGCCAGTAGCTCTAACTTCTACTAAAAAGACGATATTCCAAAATTTGTCAACGTATTTTTTATACTGTTTGAATGTATATTTAAACGTTGACAAACAAGAAGAAACATAAATACTTCATTCAAATCTATCGCAATGAATTGTGAGAATGTCTGTGTTGAACCTCAGTAGAAACAGTTGCAGCTTCTCTAACGGGAGAAATGTAACTGAATCTTTTTGAAGCATTGCTTACGTTTCATTCGAGTCAAAATTGACTATCACACAAATTGGTCATCCTGCCAGGACTGACGTTAGTCTACTGAGTGTTACACGTTGTAGGAGTTAGTTGCAATTACTGGTTAAAACAGAACTCTCAGGGTCGATAGCAAAACAAAAGCCATTAACAAATGTACAGAGGGATTTATATAGATAACATATACAGAGTGGCCCAAAAAATAGGTATATATATATATATAGTTGTATATGGACTTTTTTTTGTGGGGAGTATTCAAGGACAATGTGCACAGTAGGAAATCGCGGAATGTTGATGAAATGAAAGGGTACATCACAGACGCATTTATAGAACTTGATGGACAGACAGACTTGTGTCAGAAAGTTTGCAGAAGTGTGGCAGACAGACTCCAGGATTATGTGAACGGCGAAGGGTTTCAATTTGAACACCTGCAGGATTAACTTTCCCATAATTCCATGCCACGTGTAAAGTACCGTTAAATAAATTATCAACTGTATACTTTAATTACTTTAAATACATTTTCTATCATCAACTCTATACCTACTTTAGGGCCACCCTGTATTTATCAGTGCTTCCCAAGTGCGATGTAAGCCCAACAAAGCTACTTACATACATACATACACGTCACGTTAACAGTAAACAACTTTTTTTTTCTTTTAAACAACTACATTTATTTATTTATGCGCTAAGCTGTACAGTGCTCTCTCTGTCTACAGCTGGGATCAAACCACGAATCTAACCTGGCTTCTGAAGAAGGGATTAATAAATATTTCTTGATTAATATAATATTTTGGGGAACACATATATCTATCGTAATTGCATGAAGTTCCTCCCTAACTATGTTTTGCCCTCCCACATACACTATTTAAAGAACATTTTTCACCCAATGTCTAACACTATCTACATCAGAGAGTTATGTTCGTGAAAATGTGTAGTTATTCTCTTTTCGTTTGGTTGTATCACTCGCCCTTTTCTTCTTTCAGCAAACATGAGGAAACGTAAAAGTCAATAAACTATCCATGTATTCACCTCCATTACTGGTAACTTTAAAATGTTGGTCGCCCCTGGTGACTGGTATAATTATTTCAAGGCTGTTTTAATCCATCCCGCACCTCTACTTGAGGGTATGTGCCCCACAGGTTCTCGATAAAGATCTTCTCTATTTTTTAAGCCGTTTATAAACCAAGCTGCTTGTGAGTCCACGACTTTTTTGGTTATAGGATCTGTAATAGCATAAGTCACACACACACACAATGTGAACAATAAATATCATCATTATTGTAATTAATCGCATTAATTACTCCTGCAATGAATTTCACACAGATAAAGATTTTACCATATATTTTTGGCCAGTTCTTTATGTTTTATGTCACGACAACATAAAATTACTCAGTTAGAAAGGAAGGGAAGGAGAAACCGGTTACATCGACAAAGTATTTTGTTTTATTACAATCATTTCACATCATCTGACAAAGCAGAAACATGTCAAGTCACATTTTATTATTTACACCAGTTCTCCTAATATTTTAATGAACTTCAACATTTTAAACAAAGTTATTTTTCTTCCATTTTCCTCAAAATCTAACACAATTTCCTTATTTCGTATTTCTTGCATCAAGTCTCATTCTTTTTTTTTTTCCGAAATAAATGAACATCATATGAAAAGGTAAATCACTTATAAAATCAATTTCTTAATAAATCAAATCACTTATTGCACTCACAAAGGGTCTATTATTTCTTCCAAGATAATTAACATTCCTAATCAAAAATTACATAAGATATCATCAAAAGCTGTCATTAATGCAAAAGTCGATCGTTCAAAAAAACAAACCAAATGACAATGACTTGCGCTAAGAGACCGCTTTTAATTGATTACAGAAAAAAAAGATAGTACGTGGAACAACAGTCCAACTATTTTACGAGTAATATACACAAAGATCTATTTGTTTTGAATTTCGCGCAAAGCTACACGAGGGCTATCTGTGCTAGCCGTCCCTAATTTAGCAGTGTAAGACTAGAGGGAAGGCAGCTAGTCATCACCACCTCTTGGGCTACTCTTTTACCAGCGACTAGTGGAATTGACTGTCACATTATAATGCCCCCACGGCTGAAAGGGCGAGCATGTTTGGTGTGACGGGGATTCGAACCCGCAGATTGTGAGTCGAGCGCCCTAACCATCTGGCCATGCCAGGGCCCACAGAGATCTAGTAATAACTATATAATCATTTTGAGTAATAACATGGGGTATCCAGAAATGATATTCACAAAATTATCTATTTATACATGTAAATTTGTGAACATACTTTTCGGGCACCCTGTGTAGCTGTCCTGTTACTGTAATGTCGAGATAAAATAATGATAGGATTATTTATGGGTGAGATAGCATACAGCAGATGTTATATAAAAATTACTAACTTTAGTTTTTTAATTTTTTTTTCTGTCCTTTGTTTAAACAAAAAGCACCAACAGAAATTGCTAACTTTATTTTAAAATAATGCTGTTGCCACAAACCCGTAGCCCGGTTAAATGGATGCTTATAAACTGGAGTTTACAACTTATTGGTCACGTGATTTAATTATATTGGACACTTCAATTTTAGTAAAGAATTTAAAAAAAAAATTTAGAGTTGTGTTTTATTGAGTGTGAGAGAATTTTAGACGCTCAAACTATATATATACGTGTGTGTGTGTGTATGTATATATTAGGGATGCACGGGTACCCTGCCAGATATTCGGCCCCGGTCGAGTACTGGGCTACCCGGTAATACTCGGCTCAGGCCGAGTGTCGAAGTTAGGCATCTAAGCCCTAATCTTTGTGTCAACTAACGT